GCTTCGAAAAGCAAACATAAATAATATATATATATATATATATATAAACTCAGAAGCCACGACAAGAACAGGTGCTGCGGCCATCAATCCCAACAGGAGTGACAGACTCTTCAACATATCACAGTGAACACTCTAAGTTTTCCGTTTCCTCTCGGCGAGTCGGCGAAGCGTCGGGGAACGCATATTTCGTAGAGCAGGAAGCGGGACACGCAAAAAGAAAAACGAGGGGATAAACCAGTGAGAGACATGAATGCCGCAACCACATGGAAACCGTGGAAGCACAATGATATGACGCCAACTGACAACAATATAAACACTCGAAATGTGCATGTCTCCAACCTCATTGATGATCTGCCGCGAGCGGCATCAGTGACGACGCCTCGACTGCCATCTACTGAGAGCTCAAATGCCACAGATACTCAGACTCAGCAATTGTCGCGTGAGATCCTCACACCTGCTGAAGAAATGAGGAAAGTGAGCAGCAGAAATATTTTCACTAAATTTCGCGGAAACAGGGGCATATATTGGTTCCAGCTTGGAGAGACAATTCGCCGTGTTTTGCTCCTGAAGCGTCGGACACCTTATACTGCGATTTCGGAGATAATCGTTCCAATGATTTTTATTGCCGGATCTATCGTGCTCTGGAAGCTTCTTGGATACGAGATGTCCCCAGAGACGACGTACTTTGATTCGGATAGTTTTTCGTACTTTCGGGCATATAATCAGTTCTTTGATGCGCAGCTGTGCTACAACGGCAGCAGTGCTGTAAGTCCTGTCAGCACTCTCTTGAACTGCGGTTTGCTTGGAGCCACTGAAGATAACTTTACCTGTGGCACAGCTGAAAGTGGTGTGCCAGAATGGTTCTGCTTCAACAATACACTGGGTGAGTATGCCTCCGTGTATCCCTGGATGGTTACGGGTAAGACTGCGCCCATCCCAATATTCGATCAACTAATTCCCTTGAAGTGGGTGAATCATGTTATGAATGGGGGAAAATGGTTCTACAGCACAAGGATGTCCGCGTTTGACGCCTCAGGCAAACTGTACTTTGCGCCAGTGTCCGCTGCCACTGCTGCCCTGGTGGAATACTTCAACACCAGCTCGCGGTACTTTCGCTACGTGTATGGTGGGACGTACGGCGTGGACGCTGCGGAGTCATTGGCACGCGACAACCCTCCTATCTGGGGCATTGTGCAGGTCAACGACATGTCGCCAGAGAAGTTCGATGTGACGATTCGTCTGAATGCATCGATTCTACCAGGAACCGAAAAAATGCGCGACGGAAGCTACCTTGGTGGACTGAACACCGGATCCGGCGAGCTTTATTTACTTTCAGGCTTTCTTACGCTTCAGAGTGTGGTCTCCAGCTACTACCTTGAGGCAGTGAAGCAAATTTCAAAGATTGACTTCCTCATGGTTTCACCGACACCCACGGCGGCGTATGACACCCAAATGTTTTTATCAGTGACTGGTCCACTGGCGCCGCTCATTGTGGTGATGGCCTTCCTTTACCCCATGTCACAGCTGACGCGACGCCTTGTCCTCGAGAAGGAGTTGCGCATTCGCGAGGCTGTGCTGATCATGGGGCTGTCGGAGGGTATCATGTACCTTGCGTGGTTCACCGTTTACGTGGTGCAGTACGTCGTCACGAGCCTTATCGTGGCTCTTATGATGAAGCTGACGTACATGGCGAAATCAGGTTTTGCCGTTGTGTTCCTCCTTATCTTGCTCTTCAGCCTCTCGACGATCACGCTATCGGCTATGCTCTCTGCCTTGTTCAGCAAGGCGCGCCATGCTGCCTTACTGTCGCCGCTGATCTACTTCGTCTTCGCGATCCCTCTCTTTGTGGTGTCGGATTCTACCGGTCCTGCGAAGATTGCTGCTTCTGTGCTGTCGCCGAGCGGATTCTCCGTTGGTGTTTCTATCATGTTCAGCCACGAGCTGGGCGGTGGAATGACCATGTCCGACACCACGAGTTCCCGTGACCAGCCGAACATGCTCACGATCATGGGTGTGCTTCTGCTTGACACGGTGCTGTACGCTGTGATAATGGTCTACCTGGATGCTGTTGTGCCGAGGGACTGGGGGACGACGCGGCACCCTCTGTTTTGCATTGTGGATCCGCTGCGTTGGTGCTTCTGCCGCAGTCAGCGTGATGAAGAGGACAACTTCGAGGACGGGCGCGCGGATGACGGCGTGTTTGAAGTGGTGGAGAACGAGGAGAGCAGCGCGGTGCGGATTGTTGGGCTGCGGAAGACGTTCCGGCGTGGTGGGCATTCGTTCCTCGCTGTGGACAACCTGT